GGGAATCACAAATTTGCGTAAGGGTAGTGCATTTTCAAATGCCGATGTGTTGATGATTTGAAGTGATGATGGGACATCAATGTATTCAAGTTGTTCACATTGATAAAACGAGTGACTCCCAATACCCTGTACTGTGGTGTCCATTTTAACACTTTTTAACAACAAACAATATCTGCACACATAATCAGCTATATACACTTGCCCAATAAATTCAATATGATTCAAATCTGAGCTTTCAAAAGCATTGAGTGAAACACAAATGTTTGGTGTAACAACGATGGAGAGTATTCCACAGTCATCACCAAAACAGTCATATCCAATTGCAGTGACAGATGACGGGATTTCAACTTCTTTGAGCGACACACATTTTTTAAAAGTCTGTGAGGGGATGTATTTAAGTGAAGAGGGAAGTGTCACACGTGTTAAATTGGTGCATCCATTAAACACACAATCACCAAGAAACGTCACCGAGTCTGGTATGGCAATTTCTTGTATGTGCGCACATTTAAAAGCGTCATTTAATATTACTTGGACACCAAATGGAATTTCTACCACGTGTTCCTTGCAATTCTTGAAACAGTTGTTGTCAATACAATACACATTTTGAGGAATTGTGTTGCCATACTTTAGTCTGTCTTCTTTTGTGTATTTCACAAACCGACAAACATTAAAACGTTTCTTTTCTTCTATAAATTTGTTGTATGTAACAGGATAAGAAAATTGGAGTCGTTCAATTGACGTGTTTGTGAGTTGAATGTCAAATGGAGAAAACAAATTTTGTGTCTGAATATTAGGAAATAAGTGCGTGTTTTGTGGTGTTATTTGTATTGGGTTGATTCTGGTTCTCTCAAGCACGTACTCGTACTTTTTACATACACAAACAACGTTAATGAAGTCAATTGAATCGACTAGATAAGTTGTTACAATCTGCAATGAAAACACATCAAGTCTTGTCATTTGAATTTGAAACTATACCAATTTTATTAGTTCCGAATTTTATAAAAATAATAGTAATAGTAACTAAAATGGATCATTAGTTTATTGAGGTATAAAGTAATAACAACTAAAGTTTAACAATATATAAATATGATAATTTATTATATTATTATAATTAAAACTAAAAATAACAAGACAAAATAATAAAAATACATTATCAACACAGTACACTTCCGCAACACAATTTTTATTTTACTATCTCAATGCGTGTATTGTGAGCCAGTGATATTTTTTAAAAGGTTTACAAAGCAATTACAGATTTAATACACATTTATAACAACACAATGAGCAACAAATACAATATAACAGCACTTAATTTGTATCCAAGAGTTAGAAAAACATTTAACAAAAGGTATTTCTATTGTTTTTCGAGTCTTTTATTAACAATTATAAAAGTAGTATATAAAACAAGTTTTGTGCATTTAAATAGTCACTAAAACGTGTTGATTATTGTTAATATAACAAAATTGTTTATATTTTTGTTTTTTGATCAATTTCTTGTGATTATAAAAAGTAATTATTAATGTGGTTGTTGACTCAACATTAAGAATAACCCAATTTTTTAAAATTAATTTGTTTTACTGAGATATATTGTAATTTGATGTGTTTTTTTACTTTTTGGCTTGTGTATTGTAATTCAAATTATATCTTTCATAAACATAGTTAATATTTTATAAACTCAAGATTTCCTATTTTTTACACTTGATTTTTGTTTGGTGTTATTTAAAGTGTTAATTTGAGAAGTCACCAATTCCATTCCCAAAAAGACACAAAAAGTGAATGAGAAACAAACTATTTGGGTGTTGTTGAAAAATGCTGTGTATTAACCAGTATTACCAACTTGATGATAATCCATTCTTTATAATTATTAAAATCAACCCAATTATTTCACAAATCTCTTATCTTATTATTATTTTATTTAAATATAACTTAAAACGAATAAAATCTATATCTATTTTAAATGAGAAGGTTAATGAATGTTAATTGAATTGCTCATATAATTATAAATAACTTTTATCATGTTTTCATAAAAAATTAATGTAGTTAGTTGAATAGACAGACAAATGATTATCAAAAAACAAGAATTATGAAAAAAAAACAAATATGGTTAGAGATAATTATTTATAGTTTAACGAAAATTGTTAAATATTTTCTATTTTTATGTTTAATAAACACCCAATTTAAAAATTGTTAATAATTAGATAATTTTTATAATGTTTTTGTTTTCATAAAAAAATAGATATGATAACAAATTGACAAAGAATCAAAACATTAAAGATAAAGTAATGTTACTGTGTAATTGTAATTATATTAACAAGTATAATTGAAAACAATAATTATTTATTTATAAATAGTTATTTATTTCTAAATTTAACACAATTACAAAGAATTATTTTGTTAGAAAATTGCATCATAAATAAAAATATTTAAAAATATCTAAAACATTTGTTTTTTAAATCATAGAATTGTTAAAATTTATAAATAACAATCGAATGTAAAACTAAAAGTGATTTGCTTGAAAATAAACAAATTGTGTTCCAAAGTAATAATTATCTTTTTAAAAACTCCGTTCAATATGATATTTTAGGTACTTTTTTAATCGAATTTAAAACACATAAGAATGCACATATCAAAAGAAATTCCAAATAAAATAATAATATGTTTTTAAAACAAACCAATTATTCAAACTTACAAAATTTCGTTGCTAGTGTATCGAGACAAATTATAGTGTCAGTTTTCCGTTTGCAATAAAAGCGTCTTTATATTACATTCTAAATCATTAAAAGATGAATAAGTTATTTATTGGATTAATTGTAGGAGTTTCTATCATTTCTGCACTCTGTGTTGTTATTATTATCGCAGTTACTCTTGGTGTTGTTCTTTCCAAAGACGACTCTTCTGGTGAAATACCTCCGAGTCCCAAGTTGGTTGTCAACAACCCTTACATGGTCAATGAATTAGACTCACTTGAAGTTATTTCTCGCACCAAATTCGCTGGTCTCAAGCCAAAGATCATGAAAATGAAATACACAAAATATCCATATTGGGGAACAAAAGAAACATTCACAACTGAAGAGAAAACTGCCATCATCGAAGAAAACACCCAAATATGGGCAGATTTATTGACAATGATAAACAATGGATCCTACGGACGAATGGATCCTGAATTGGGCGGAGAAAAACAATTTGAAGCAACTGGTGTTAACTGGGAAGCGGACAGAGTATCTATTAAATATGGAATAATGGGCAAGTTGACTGGAATGCGTCTAGTTGGTTGGGTATTTCCAGGTGAGTTGTTTACAGTGACAGTTCCTCAAGACCTCAACATTGGTGACGGAAATCTTGCGCTTTGTATAGGAAAGTGTAGCAGATATGTTGATAGACATTGGCTAGACGTTGCTAAGTTTTCCAAAGATCGAATGCCATTAGACTCTTACCAATTCCCACTTAAAGAATCTGTGCTAGACAATAATCGGCAATACAAATTGGGATCACCTTTTGGAGGCGGAGTTTATGTGTATACAGGAGGTAGTACTGGCAATTGGAATCCATTCTTTTTGACCTTCGACAATTTGGGACTTGCTCCCCGAATCAATTATGGTGAAACAACAAACAAACAGTGGAATGAAGAGTTGAGAAATGCTCCAGGAAATGTTGCTGAAATCAGAACACCCGGAGTCAGACTCATCATGACTGCACGAAATGTCAGAGAAGTTGAAGACGCAGAGTTTGTAGGAACATGGTGGCATGAAGCAATTAGTGTTGGGAACACTGTTACTGGTACATTTTATCCCATGCCAATTTCTATGATGTTTGACGAAAGAGTTGATGCGGGTGCTGCTGTCGCTTTTGTTGGTGCATGGTTTTGCCAAATGCCAAGCTCGTGGGCTGGTTCCACTGTTAATAAACAAGCTATGATAACTCAACTCAATTGGGGAACTTTGCATGAAATGAATCACCACATGGAAGGAACATACTTAAAAGGTGGTAAATGGGGAATGGGTGCTTCTGAGACGAACAACAATGTAATAAATGCGATCTTCCACATTGATTATAACAACATTTCTGCAAAAAGAGGTGCAGGATTTTCTGGTTGGGAGTATATCACTGACGGGTTTGCAACAATGAAACCTGTTTTTGATGATTCACAAAACCAACTTTATTTGAGAACATATGTGACTCCAGCTTTTGGATTTGGCACAATTGCAGTGAAAAAATTGATAAACAATTATTATTACATGTATTACAATGAAAATTATGAAACAACGTTTGGAAAGACCAGAACAGACTCTGGAATTTTCTGTCTTTTGTTAGCAAGAGCAATTGAACGAGACACACAATATTACTGCAATATTTTCAAGTGGGCAATTGACGCAAATATTCTTGCTGAGATCAAGAAGTACAAATACCCAACTTTCTTCCCATTTTTCATGAGTTACTCGCACACATACAACGGCAATAAATATGGTAGAACTTACACATTGCCATATAATATTACAACAAGACTCAACTTTACAGCCGCTACTGCAATGGATAAGGCAACAAAGAACATCAAGTTTGAAATACTTCAAGGACTTACAAAAGGGAACATCAAAAAGATTGAAGAAAATGTTTATGATTATACCCCTACAAACAACCCAAGTGACGGTGATACTTTTAAAATAAAGTTTACCTTTAATGCCAACGGAGAGAACGGAGAAATTATCTACGAAGGAGAGTTTGTCACTGAAAATAAAGCGCGACGTGGATATGGCTATAAGGTCGTATCTGAAAAAAATCTAAACAATATGTCGGATGTCGAGGCAATAATGAAAGGACGCGACATGTCAAAATACGATTACATACGATACTCCAATGCAATGCAAATTAACAATTACAATGACAAAGTTAATGATGTCGATACACCCACATTCAATAAAATTGAGGGAACTTTAGTTGTTCCAGATGATGGCTATTACACCCTTTTTATTAAAACAGACGAAATGGGCACTTTGGATATGCAATTGGAAGATGGCAAATACACTCGTTTTGCAACAGTTAACACGTACATTTCAAGCTACCAAAAGAATTTAGAAGGCTCATATAAAACAATGTTGTTGAAAGCAAATTATTATTATAATTTCATCTTGCAGAATTATAATGCAGGAGCACAAGGCGGAATGAATGTTGGATATTGCTACCATGGTACTAAAGAATCAGAAGTCAACGTCTCGTCTTGTAGTATAGTAGATGTCCCACCAACGTACGTGTACACCAAAGGATTGGGACCAAGAGACCTCCAAAAAGAGTATGTCTTCCCACCAATAAAATACAGCCGTCAAATTCTTTATTTGAACTACAAAATGACAACATCCCCAATATGCACCCAAGATGAATGTGATGTCGAATGTAAAGAACTACCACCACCTGCAGGTTCGGGTAATGTTTGTAATAGTATATTTGATCGAAATGACGCAACCTTATTCCACTCAGCTTGGATTGGAAGTGGAACAACC